TTTTCCTGCCGACATCCCTGCTTGTCTCAATGAGTACAAGTGACCAGACTCATTAAGTAGCAGGCCAATCCTCGCTGCGAAGACACAAACTTCAACACAGCCTTCGAAAGGGATAATATTAGGTCTACAAAGGGTAGATATAATAGTTGTAGGCTTCTGAAGCGAAACAACGGCAGTAGAAAGGACAGGAGCCATTTATGCTACCGTGGGTACAAACGTCGAACTTTTTTTGACGTTTGAGTTTTTAACATGTGACGTTCTTGAAGCTACGTTCTTCCTTCAAAGGCTTCCATGACCACGATTTTCAACGTCATGGCTGGTGTCAACCAGCTAGGGACAATTGTTGCATCCACATTCCTTGGACTGATGAGCGATTATTCCCGGCGCTCGCCGGAGCATGCTTTGTACAATCAGAGAGAAGCTCCGACTGCTGTTAAAAGCAATACCTGGATCGACATACTGCATGCATATCTGCACGCATACTGCGTGCTGCGAGTGGTGAAGGGCAGTCAAAATATTGGTAGTAACAATAAATCTGCGCGCGAGCTGCGCGCTGCGTGCGGTGAAAGCTTGGCATACGCTGCTGAAGTAAACATATTCGTAGCGGGGAGCCTCTGTTTTTTAACCAGGCGGGTTCAACCTGCCGGGCCCAAAGGCCTACATGCACATCCCCGGAAATCGTCAAGACCAATAAACAACAGAGAGAATAACCGACAAATGCTCGAGCCAAAGGCACAGCAGGCAAGCACGTCCAGTGCCATCCATGGCTTGGCCTCGAACAATCGTCATCCCAAGGAAGAGGGGCAGGCACGCCTCCAAGGATCAGTAAAAATGAAGCATCTTCCAATCAACGTCATAGCAGTAAAAGGCGAAAGCATTCAAAAAAGGCAGCCTGCTGCGCGACACCGAGCGACATGCATGAAGACAGAACAACCAAGTTGAGGTCGGAAACACCAACAAAAAACCATCAACAAAAAAACAACACCCTGTACACACACCTCGTCCATAAGGTACTTGGACAGCTCCGACCCAAGGCTCCGGTGCGCGTTGACGGCGTCCCTGACGTCGTAGTAGGCCACGAAGATGACCCGCTTGCGGCGGTGCTCGGCCCGCAGGTAGTACAGCGGCCCGTGCCTCTCGCACGTGGCGCGTAGCTCGTCCTCGCCGATGGACTCGACGTTCCACAGGACCAGCGCCCTCGACGGCCTCTCGGTTAAGAACTCCATCAGCTCCGCCCCGGCGGGCGCGTTAAGCACGGCGGTCCAGCTCTCATCGAGGTGGGGGTTGCCGCCGTTACCGCCGTTGCTGATCGAAGAACACGGCCGGCGCAACCGAGCGGCGGCGGAGGCGGCGGCAGAAGCGGAGGTGTTAGTGCTGCTGTTGGTGCTGCCGTTCCACGACCCCACCGAGGAGCACGAGTCCAAACCGAAGCCAGGGGGAGGCAGGGCTCCCAGGCTTCCCCGGATGCTGTTGTTATTGTTGCCGTTGCTCCCTGGAGGGTACGCCTGCTGCTGCTGCCTCGAGCTGTCGTCGTCGTCCAAGCGGCCGCCGCCCCCCATCACCACGCCGCCGCAGCTGCTGCTGCGGAGCTGGCGGTGGTGCGTGCCGCCGCAATCGGCGCCACCGCCTTCCTCACCGCTGTCGCAGCCGTACAAGCTCCCGCGGGAGGAGGACGGAAAGTGCTCGTTCTGGACGCGCGCCTGCTGCTGCTGCGCGGTCAGCCAGGACGGCTGCCGGGCGGGGGAAGGCGCGAGCGCCGCCAGCGGCAGGAAACCCCCGTCTCCCAGCGGTGGGGGGTGCTGGGGCGGGGGCGAGCCGGCCCGGGGGCTGCCCTCGAGGAGGCCATGGTGGCAGCCGTTGTTGGCGAGGTTAGCGCAAGACTGCGCCTGCTGCTCGTTCACGTCCAGGTTGTTCATCGCCAGCAACAGGTCCGAACCCACGCAGTCGACCAAGTCGAGGTTGGTGCTGCTCTGCACCCGGTGGGGCGTCTGCTGGGCGGAGAAGACCTGCTAAATAACAGCACCAGTAGCCCAAAGCAGAAAAATATGATGGATTGCACGGGAGAAGAGGCAAGACGGGGTGGCGCGTCGTGTCGGTGCGTGTTGGCACGGATTAACCAACTACACGGATGGCGACATATATATTCGAGGGTATGGGTAGGTGTACATGATACGCCCAACGAACTGCCAAACAAAGGGCGGGCCGCAGGTTGAACGGCACGGGCCAAGCAGCTGCTGTTCTGCCCGCTGCCTCGTGTGAAAAAAGGGAGAGAGAACGACCATCGCGCATCTCGGACCACGAAGAGAAACGCAGCGGGCATGCGTGCAGCGATGACATATCACCCGCCGCCGGGGCAAAGGTGTACACTACGTGGCTGAAGTTTTGTTGTTGCGTTCTGCGAGCAGGAGTGCAGGGCGTAACAAGAAGCAAGGATTCGCGTGAGAGGGAGAAACACCGATGTTCAGGTCTCCACAGGTCCCACTTCTTTCAGAACCAGGCAAGATATGCTGGAAAACAGAGAAGAGTTCCTATGCAGACAAAACAAAAGAGATTGTAGGCACACACCCACACCGACAGCGAGATCACTTGATGAACAGCACCACAACCTTGATTCCCGGGCTGTGTGCCCCGGGGCAAATTCTACCCACGGGGTGGCGGGCATGACAGCGGCCAGCTCACCTCGCCTGCCTTGCTTCAACACCATTGAGGCTACTGCTTGTGGCCCTGTGGGCCAAAAAAAACTAATGACAAAAAAGACTAATAGAGACAGCGAGGAACAGAGTTCCACGCCCCCGACCAGCAGCGAGCTTACCGGTGGCGGTCGCTGGGACACCATGACGGACGCCGAGGGAGAGTACTGGTCGGCAGCCGATGCGGGGGAGCCACGGCTCACGTCGTCGCCTAGGCCGTCGCCAGCAGGCATGTCAGATGGCGCCTAGATGGAAGCCAACCGCCGCCACAACCTAAGGGAACACACAGCAGCAGCTGTCTCTCTTGTTTCCCACTTTGCTGATTAAAACGACGCTGCGCCCTCGCAAACTTGCTTGAGGAGGGCCTGTTTCGAAGTCGTATATCTCGTTGTCGTGACGGGAAAGGAAAGGTGGCGCCCTATGCATGTGATACGTTCATCAGCCTGCCACAAAGGTTCAGAGAGAGAGAGAGAGAGAGAGAGAAGCAACCAAGACGAGTTGAAGCAATGTTGAAGTTGGAGGAGGCGTTATTCACCGGGAGTTGAGCCTGAACGAGGAGGCGGAGACCGTTCGGGGTCGAAAACATGATCACCCCCCCCCTCTCTGCTCCACGAACCCTCTGGCTCTGCAATGCCCAATCAGCAGTTGACAGCGCAGCGGGTACTGCGTAACCACGCACGAAAGTGCGAAGGTATTCATAAATCATAGTAGTAGTGCAGAGGCACGCCTTACGTGCTTTTGCCACGCTGTCCTACTTGAAGATGAGAAGAAACGTACAGAGAGAGGGAAGGAGGATCGATCGATGATGGTGTGGGTGACGCTAATGGATACACACATGGATCTTCCCAAGACTTCTTCTGCAGAACCTCGATGTCGATGAATGTGTGCATAGGCGATGGGTCCGCAGTCGTTTATTGTTTCACACTGGTAATGATGTACATTTGTTCATAGTTTGTTTTATTCGCGAGCAGTTGCTGAAGTTATGATCCACATCATCATGATCATCATGATCATCATCATCATCATGAAAGAACGGGCGGGAAAACGTACTACACTGCTGATGATATACAGCAGTACACTCGTCACGCCCACCCGCCCACCCAACCTACCCGGCCACAGGCAAGTAGCTCCCCTCGAGCGATATAGATAGGTTTCGTCCACGTGAAGTACACTTGGAAGAGAAGGTCAACAAGATACTCCTCGTTAGTACCTGGTAAATGAACGCATATATATGAGACAACGCTGAGTCTGTCGCAAAAAAAGAATGTTTCGTTTTTGTACTCGGTCCCATGAAAGCTCGCGAGTACCCCTGCCCCCACCCCAAGCACCAAAACATACCAGTACGTCATGTGATTCGGGAATAAGTGTTATGTAGTGCGACACCACCTATCTACATATTTTAGTTTTTGTTGTATTTTGATTCGCTTCCGAGGGCCCTTTTCTCGAACGGTCGGTGCGATACCTGTTCTTCTCTTCTAGTCCAATCATATTGTTTTCTTTTTCCGAGGAGTGGTTTGTACCCTATTTCGTTTTGTTTCCCCGCGGCGTCGTATGTGCCGGGTTTTGAGACCACGGGCTCCCCGTTTTTGCGGACTATTGAGCTAATGTGAGAAACAACAAACAACAACAATATATATAGTCTGTCATAGGGAACAATGCTGGCTGTACAGCAGTAGCGTCGACCCCGCTATAAGGACGCACATGGTTTTTCCCGAAAAAAAAACGTTGCGTCCTGAAAATTCAGGGGACGATAGCTCACCATCGCCGGGGTGAATGAAGGCATGCTATACCTCAAACTACGCGTCTTTTGATAAGGAAGGGTGTGGCATGAAAAGTCAGCATTGCCGAGACGAATGGCAACCGTTTGTTGACGTCGAACATATTTACAATACTTCAAATGAGATGTAAAGCAGTCGGGGACGTGTTGAACACAACTACATACAGTACACAAGTGTGAACTTGGCCAACTAATGTACTGCTTCGCTGGAAGCGGAAGAAGGAGGAAAGTCCAAGTAGAAATATATATTTATCTCATTCCCGTGAAACACACAAAAAACGAGCGCATTTCAGCGTCGCACCGAGGAACATCAGNGGCATGCTATACCTCAAACTACGCGTCTTTTGATAAGGAAGGGTGTGGCATGAAAAGTCAGCATTGCCGAGACGAATGGCAACCGTTTGTTGACGTCGAACATATTTACAATACTTCAAATGAGATGTAAAGCAGTCGGGGACGTGTTGAACACAACTACATACAGTACACAAGTGTGAACTTGGCCAACTAATGTACTGCTTCGCTGGAAGCGGAAGAAGGAGGAAAGTCCAAGTAGAAATATATATTTATCTCATTCCCGTGAAACACACAAAAAACGAGCGCATTTCAGCGTCGCACCGAGGAACATCAGTACACATAACTGTCCCGGCGGAGACCAAGCTACCCTGACGGCTTTTCCCTCCACATATCGCGAAGAGTTCCCTGAACCTCCCCCCGCGGCTTGGCTCTACGGCTCTGTTGAGTTTTATGAGTAAACGAATGAACGGTATTCGAAAGTAGGTACGGCGTCTCACGGTACTTGCCACCCCTTCCCTTCGCGTACAAATAGGATCGAACGTCCTCCAAGCGAGAGACAACCTCGCCCTCGGTGAGGGACGAGGTTATGCACGACTCCGGCCTGCCGTCGCCGTCGCCCTCTTCGCTCGATACGTCGTCGTCCATTTCTAAGCCTGCGAGATCCCTCTCTACTCCCTACAGTTCCAACTCCACCTCCTCTTCTAACACCTTGGGGTCGTCCTCTACCGTAAGCCATGTCTTGACCGCCGTTCGGACTTCCTGCTCTGTGAGGTCTGTGCCCTTGTCGACAAACAAATTGTCCGTCAACACTCGCGGCATGGACCTATAGTCCGTTACGCTAACTGACATCGACATTTCTGAGACCATGTCACAAAGGCCGTCGATGATTGCCGCGTCGTCCTTGTCCTCTCGGTCAAGCCGCGTGTCCATGCCCTTCAGAACGTTGCAGTCCTCCCTGGGAAGGATGCCAGCCTTGACCCAGCACCTGATAACCGTCTGAACGTCGAAGCTACGCCACTTCTGGGTCCAGATCTCCGTGACGTCCAGGATTGTCGCCTGTACTGCATCGCTGAGGCCCCGGCACCCTCTGCCGAAACGAAACACAGGGACGGATGAAGGGCTAATGTTAAAACCAGCTCGACAAAAAGTTGTAAGAACACCATTTTCAGAGCCTTCGCAAGACCTGCTACGACGGTAACAAAGAGCGCCCCTACATTGTTGTTTTGAATTCACCTTTGGATTTTCGTGCACGGACGGCGTCCCAGTCCTCGATGAGGTCTGCCAGCCTTGCCACCATCTCGGTCTTGTACTGGCACTTGAGTACAAACAGGATGCCCATGTCCATGGGCTGGTAGACAGAAGTGACGATCGGAGGCAAGAAGATAAAAATGATGACGATCTCCGGGTCGTTGCTTTTGATCTTGTGGCCGGGGCAGTTGTCCCACAAGAGGGCCCCCTTCTTGGAGGTCTTGCCTTTGACGAAGGGGACAAAGACTTCGTCAAATCACCGCTGGCAAATGGCTGCGTCGAGCCAGGCACTATCCTGGGCGAAGTAGGGACATGGCGGTTTGCGGACGTGGCGGAAAACCATCGTTTTTTCCGACGTGCTGATGACGGCCAACGGCACCATCAGAGACCCGGTCGTATTGCAGCAGGCGACCACCGTGCACAAATCCGTGGCCTTCATAGCCTTCGAACCCCGCGCGGTTTTGCTGTTGACGCCGGCGGCGGCCTCCCCCCTCGTGACGTATGTACCTCTCGGGAAGCAGCGGAAGAAAAGTCCCGTCTCGTCCATGTTAAATATGAACTCGACGTCGAACTCCTGCAGCTGCTCACGAATCCTTTCGATCTCCTCTGCCACCTTCTGCTTGTCCACGTCGCCAGCTCCTCCGTGCAAGTGGACGTGAGTGAAGCTGTAGCGTTTCAGGAAGCCATGTAGCCAGACGTTGGCCGCCTTGAAGTTGGTCTTCCCATCTGCGCCGCGATCTTCAAGGCCTGGGCCTGGATCATCGAACCACTCACGCCAATCTTGGTTGCCTGCGTCTGGAAAGACATAAAAAAAACAGCAGCGACATGGTTTCGATCAACTCTCCCTTGAATTGGTTGTGCGTTCAGTCGGCCAGCTTGAAACAGGTGGACTAGAGCTTGTCGAACCTCCAACCCAGCAGCTTGGTTGAGAGTGGGAGGAGGTGTAGGGGTGGAAGGGTGTAGGCGTATAGACAACCAAGTTGCATCCTGACCCAACACATGACTGATGCAAAATATGTACTTACGTTAAAGCGTGCTCGTGCGATCTTGATCCACTTGCGTAGTTTCTCTTCCACTTCGTCGTGTACCGGCTTCGGGGCGCGAAGGGCGTCCTGGTTGAACTCCATGTCGCGGACTTTCTCAAGCTCAGCGATTTTCTCCGGGTTCATCAACTTGCTTATGTCCGAAGTACCGACGTTCCACAATGCAGTAACCATGCTCCTTTTAGCCCCCCCCTGGACCTCCTTGACAATCTGCAATCGCTGCGTCATCGATAACTTGTTTTTGCCGGTGTCCCGTCCGGGCTTGGACACCCGGACTTTCTTGGCGACACTACCTGTGCCGTCCCCCGCGGCACCTTCGCCGCCTCCCCACGTGGCACCTCCGCCGCTCCCCCCCTCGGCGCCTCCACCGCCCAGCCTCACGGCACCTGCGCCGCCCCACCCCCGCGGTGCGTTGAGGCCGTTTCCCCTTCCTTGCAGACTCTTTGTCCCCAGCAGGTTGCCTCGTCCTGCACGACAAATTTTGCAAGAGACGAGGGAATTGTGACATGTCAGGGCAGGTTGTTGGCAAATACACCCACATGAGAAATAATACCGTTGTGCCCAACACAACATGCGCTTCTTTTCCGGAGAACGAGAGTGCTCGCACCTACCGCCGAGAGACTGCACGCTGGCCAGCAGCTACAATATACGCTGAATAAAAATAAAACATTAGAATATCACGATTGCCAAGGGTACACGTGAACAAAAATTCAACACACATAGGCGTACTAATCGAAAATCGGGGTCGTTTGGGGGGGGGTGTACTCATAGTCGTGCATGCCGTAGTTGTTAGACCATTGACCTCGTATCCCTACAAAGCCGGGACGGAGCACGCCGGGTTCTCACCGGACCAGGCTCTCACATCACCAAGCGCGAAGCGCCGTGATATATTCGGCGAGTCGCATGAAACGTGCGCTGCATCGTGCTAAGAGTGTTCGGCATCTTGTGCTTACTTCCTTGTATACGGATTACAGCTGCGGATGACTTACTTTATTATCTGGTGCTTTCACTTCCTGAGACAGTTGTAAGCACTATGTAACTGCCTCGAGGGTGCTTGACCATAGAGGTAAAATAAAAACGGTAACCTGGTTGCCGAGTTCACGAAGTGAAATGGCTTGATTGACAACGTCGTTGCCAAGCGACGAAAACCCAATCCTGATGGCGAACATCGCGGGAGGGTGTACTCAAAGTCGTGCATGCCCTAGTCGTTAGGCCATTGACCTCGCATCCCTACGAAGCCGGGACGGAGCACGCCGGGTTCTCACCGGACCAGGCTC